AGGGTGGCAGGGATGCAGGTAGGGTGGCAGGGATGCAGGGGGTGTGGCAGGGATGCAGGGGGGTGGCAGGGATGCTTTCCAGCAGGACCCTGCTCCTGCACCATCAACTCTGCCTGTTCCAAAGGGGATGTTGCCCCAGTCCTGGTGGCTTTGCTGCATGTTGTCACCTGGTAGCTGGAGCATTTCCAAGAGCTGTTTCCGGCCACCAGCCCCAGTCCCACATCAAATCCCTTTGGCACATCAGAGGCCGTGGTGCATTTGCCATCTCGCCTGCTTCATGGGAGATCTGGGATGTGGTTGTACTTTGTGGTAGCTCTGTTCTGTCCTCTTGTGGTCATGCCAATTACAAAACCAAGGGGGTTTTTTGGAGCTGTCAAGGCCTGGATCTGTCCCTGTTGTTCATCTTGTGCTTGCAGCCTCCTGGTTACCTGCTGTAACAGGCTTTAGGGAGAAAGCCCTCAGCCGTCTGGTGAAGTTCAGGGATGCTGCAAGGATGGAAGCTCTTGGGAGCAGCAGGTAGGTGTCTGCGTGATGCTGCTCTCTGCCCCGGTGGGCTGTGCCTGCTGCTCTCCAGCCCTGGTTGCGAAAGGGGAGAGGTTTGGAGGGCAACCTTCAGCTTTTTATCCTCAGCTCAAAACTGAAGTGAAAATTGAGCGGGGTTCACTCAGCCTTGCACAGAGCAAGAATTTCCTGCTCCCTGTGGCCCAAGGCAGCTCCAGCAGATGCTCCTGTGTGAATCAGCTGGAGCCTCCCTGCGTCTGGGCTGGTCGGGCTCTGCTGCTGTCACGATATGAGTGAGCCATCTCCTAACATCCTTCCCGTGTCCAGGATAAGCCTCAGATGGCTTTTAGCCCCCTGGGCAGGGGCTGCAAGTGGCAAAGGGGTGGAAAGCAGCAGAGCCCAGGCACCGTGGTGTGGGGAGATGCTTCAGAGCTGCTCCCTGCCCTACCCTGGGGCAGCATCTGATAGAAGAGGACTCCAGGGCCCCTATGCCTTGGAACTGGAGGGGACAGAGCCTGAAGTGGGTGCTTCTAATGCTACCAGACAGGTCTGGGTGAAGGAATTGTGTCCCCTGGCCCTGGCTGGAGCCCCGGGGAGGGGGTTTCTCCCTCCCGTTGCAGCACTGGCTGCTCTGCACAGGGTGGTGGTGATGAGCCAAACCTTGACCCCACAGGTATGTGGGTACCGCCACCGAAACTGTGACTCACAGTCCCTCTGGGTCACACCGGGGGGGCACCAGGGGGCACGTTGGGGCTGGCACGTCCCTATGGGCATCTGCTGCCAGAGGGGATCTTGAGGCAGGGATTGGAAGAGGGAGGAGGGACGGGGCCTGCAGCTGGATGCTGTAATCTTTGGCTGCCCCATTTCCACTTAATCCAAAGGCTCTGTCCCGGCCCCTTTGGGAA